CAACGGTAGCACTCAACGGCGGTCCATTGGCAGCTTTGCTTCTTGCATGGAGTTCCATATCGCGAAAAAGTCTGCTGAACACGAAAGAAGAAATGAGTTGTTCAAGAATTGTCAGTACATTTAGCGCATGGTGTGTTATGACGAATGACGTGTAGAAATGAAAAGCAACAAATTGACTTAACATGTCAAAGAGCTTGCTATGAGCCAAGGGAATGCATTACCCAGATTGAAAACGCATCAAAATCATGTATCAACTTGCGCATGATCGAAAACATGAATCAAGATCGTACACACATCTGCAGCGATAAGGTCCCTACCGTGTTTGACATTCTGCTTGGTTTGAGCATCACAAACTATGTGTGTCCGCACACTTTTGTGATAGGTCTTCCTATATTCTAGATCTCTTCAAATTGATCTCTTGTCCTCACAATTGTAAATTGATTTGAAAGAGAAGGTGAAAACTCATAAAATGACAGTAAGAAGTAGGGTTCCCGGCCAATAAAATCCTTCGGCACATGGCCACCTTCGCCCTATGGGCACCATTCGCCCGTTGGGCACCCCCTTCACATGGAAGGCAAATTCTGAAAGACTGCGTGTAGAGCAAGTAGACCACGTAGATCGAAGAAATCGCGATAAATAAAGTCGAAATGGAAAGGACATGGTTAGATTAAAAGGTGTTAATTGTTATTGGCGAAATGATTGAATATGATGCAATCCAAAGTTTGTATTAGCGAAATAATTGAATATGTTGCAATCCAAAGTTATCGTGCCCTTGTCCCTCACGAACATCAATTGTTTGTTGCAGATTGCGCAACACTTTGCGTGTGGAGAGCGGTATACACATATATCCATATGTCTTCATAAGGAAGGTGACACTTCTGGGTTGCCGACGCGTGGAACAAATAGAGCAAGGACAGTATAACTTTGGAGTGTTAAAAAGTGAAGATAACTGCACTTCAATTGAAACATGGATACCACGAAATGAAATGGACACAAATCGATTGTATTCTTGTTCTTCCACAAATCCGTTTAAAATGAACGTTGATTAGTTGTCTATGGACGAAGGGCAGAATTCGCCAAAAACTGAGATTCCGACGCGTAGAACACGTAGGTCAGGTGGTTGAGATAGAACGCAGTGATGAAAACAGTAAATGGATTGATTAAATCACAGTTATATAACACTTAAGCCAGTGTGTTGCAGTACCGTGAACCATATAGAGTAGAACAACGGACGTAAACTAAGCTGGAGAACTGAATATAATCAATTACGGAAAACAAATATCACACTGCGAGCCAGGCGTTTTGGGTGGGATGTTGCAGAAAACGTTTGAACAGTTGCAAAGTTGCAATTGGAATGAAAAGCACAAAACCAAAATGCAGCTACGACGGCTTCTTTTCAGTCAAACGGTGTCAATTGTTGTCTGGTCCATTTGTGTCCAAAACTGTTGATCTTGAAGACGTTGTTGTGCCAAATTGGATTCCACTGTCATGATGCGATCCATGAGATACACTATGGGTCCTGCATGATCAATACTCTGAGCTTCCAATCTATATTCTCCTACAATGCCTTTGACAGTCAACGATAATCCGGATGGTGAAGTAGGCGTACGTCTTTCCGCATGTTCAGCTGGCAACGTGATGGGAACCGGTGATACTCCTGATTTTGCTGAGGACTCCGCGATAGGTTGTATCTTGGGGGTTGCTTGGTGAGGTCCATGTTCAACTGTACGTGAAGGATGTGAGGGGGGAGGTGAAGGAAGGGGACCGGGCGGAGTCTGTAGAACTGGTGCATGTCCGGGAAATGGTGAAAATGCAGGTGTCGCCCGTGGTACAAATGGAGCTGCTGCACACGGTGAAGACAGTGATACCATCGGTTGTGACGGAAGATACGCAACGGTAGCACTCAACGGCGGTCCATTGGCAGCTTTGCTTCTTGCATGGAGTTCCATATCGCGAAAAAGTCTGCTGAACACGAAAGAAGAAATGAGTTGTTCAAGAATTGTCAGTACATTTAGCGCATGGTGTGTTATGACGAATGACATGTAGAAATGAAAAGCAACAAATTGACTTAACATGTCAAAGAGCTTGCTATGAGCCAAGGGAATGCATTACCCAGATTGAAAACGCATCAAAATCATGTGTCAACTTGCGCATGATCGAAAACATGAATCAAGATCGTACACACATCTGCAGCGATAAGGTCCCTACCGTGTTTGACATTCTGCTTGGTTTGAGCATCACAAACTATGTGTGTCCGCACACTTTTGTGATACTCATAAAATGACAGTAAGAAGTAGGGTTCCCGGCCTTTTAATATCCTTCGGCACATGGCCACCTTCGCCCTATGGGCACCATTCGCCCGTTGGGCACTCCTTCGGCTTATGCCACCCTTCAATTGTCCTTGACCCCCCTTCGGCTATTGCCATCACTTCTAGCAGCCCCTATGGCTACTCGCTCAACTTCTGCCTCCGTAGAGGGCGGATTCGGCACACTATGCCAAGATTGTTCTTCCCCATTAGGGATGATAAGGTCATGGTCTGTATAGGACACATGACTAATGCACACTGTTGATTTTTTTGGAAGTGAACTGCAATGACGATGTGGTTGTACACGCCTGGTAGAATTCCTGAGTCCATCATCCTTGATAAACAGGTGAAACCAGGTCCAAATCATTAATCAGCAAGGTGGTTCTTGGGTTAGCCACATCCCATCGCGGAAAAGGAAAGACATGATTAGGCAGGTACGTCGATCCAGCGTCCCGGATCGATATCACAGAATGTCATAGCCGTCTTCGTTGGCTGCAGAACTATGACATTCCCTGCAGCCCCCTGCTGTTAAGTAGTCTTTGGCGCATGAATTCGGAAAACATAACGTGCATAGTCTTTGGCGCATGAATTCGGAAAACATAACGTGCATAGTCATCAAATGTCCAGTTGTAGTTTTCTGCATGTGAATAGCAGTGTACACACACACAACTCTCCGACACAAATTCTTCACACACAACTCTCTCACACACAACTCTCTCACACACAACTCTCTCACAGACAACTTACTCACACACAACTCTCTCACGCACACACACAACTCTCCGACACAAATTCTTCACACACAACTCTCTCACAGACAACTTACACACAACTCTCTCACACACAACTTAGGCGTGGCACTTGGTGACATCGACCTTCACTTTGCGTGGCAAGCGCGGCACGTAGGGAACTGAGTTGGCTCTGGTGGCGCGCTTGGTTCCCGTTTGCCGCTGTGGTCGCCGCGGCTGTGTGTGTGGCAGGCGTGGGACTTGGGCACTTTTTGGCACTGGGTTGGCTCTGGCGACGCGCTTGGTTCCCGTTTGCCGCCATGGTCGCCGCGGCTGTCTGTGTGGCAGGCGTGGCACTTGGTGACAGCGACCTTCACTTTGCGTGGCAGGTGTGGCACTTATGGCACTGGGTTGGCTCTGGTGACGCGCTTGGTTCCCGTTTGCCGCCGTGGTCGCCGCGGCTGTCTGTGTGGCAGGCGTGGGACTTGGGCACTTTTTGGCACTGGGTTGGCTCTGGCGACGCGCTTGGTTCCCGTTTGCCGCCATGGTCGCCGCGGCTGTCTGTGTGGCAGGCGTGGCACTTGGTGACAGCGACCTTCACTTTGCGTGGCAGGTGTGGCACTTATGGCACTGGGTTGGCTCTGGTGACGCGCTTGGTTCCCGTTTGCCGCCGTGGTCGCCGCGGCTGTCTGTGTGGCAGGCGTGGCACTTGGTGACAGCGACCTTCACTTTGCGTGGCGGGTGTGGCACTTATGGCACTGGGTTGGCTCTGGTGACGCGCTTCCCGTTTGCCGCAGTGGTCGCCGTGGCTGTTTGTGTGGCAGGCGTGGCACTTGGTGACAGCCGGTAAAGCTCCAGGGCTTCAATGTTCATGGTGGGATCTATCTGAAAAGTGTCTCCATCAAGGTCTTGATAACGGAGTTCAAGGCATCCTCATGTATGTCCAAGCTCTATGTAGCCCACAATCGCAAGGAAATTGCCTCGCAGAATCCATCGAGAATTTGAGCTCTGGTAGCGGACGTGCAAAAAACACTCCAATTAAACCTGACACGAAGAATGAAAAGTAAATAATATATATATAGAGAAGTATAATCACAGTAGACATTGACCGTATAAAACAACAGCGATAAGATCTATGTCCCCCCCAGCTGCGGCTTATATGCGCCCAGGGGCGGGACTATATATATATATATTGCAGGTACAGGTTCATGCGTCCATGAACCCATCCACCACATCTTCCGTAGCTTCGTTGGGCAACATAGGAAGATGGGCTGTTGCCCCCCTGCAAAATATAGAAGTTTTACATCTATTCAGATGGTACACACACAGACAGACAGACAGACGGACAGACAGACAGACAGACAGACAGACAAACAAACAAACAAACAAACAAACAGACAGACATCCAGACATCCATTCATCCACCCATCCATCCATCCATCCAAGCAACTCTCTCACACGCAAATCTTTCATGCGTACCTTTCACCATCTCATGTCTCTTTCCTGCCTTTCCCATTCCGTCTTCACCTTTCTTTTGTGACTTATTGGAAGAAGTTGACATGTGGGGCTTTCCGGTCCTTTAATTCTTTGAGTTGATCCTGAAGAAGCAGGGGGAATAACTCAAGGAATCATGTGTTGCAATTGCCTGTACATGTGGACATCCTTTTCTAGCAGACTCAGTGACTTCATGATACCCCTGCGGAACCACTAGGCTTCTGCGGTACATGATGTAGCTGCCATGGTGACAAAAGAAACGCACCTAAAAAGGCATCATTCACATGCTTTCCACCATGAAGAATTCTTCTCAAACACTACAGGATCAAAAAGCTACAATACGCATTTCTATTTTAATGTATGTATATGGTTGCACATATACGTATATATAAATACTATATGTTACTTTATGTATACATATCGTACGTGATGCAATCATATCTGACAGCGTGCACTTCGGCTGCAGCTCGTCCTGTAGCTCTTGTCGCGCTTGCTCGCTGCTCTGGAGCTCATGACGGAGACGCAGTTCGCTGTCGGCCATGGCACCTGAAAGATTGCACTGACGGCCGTCATAGCTTGAGAAGACGAGGACATGAAAGAATGATGGGGATCGCGAGAATGAGGAAAATATGAACGGGCGGCACAAACAAGGCTGGCGGCTCAGTCATCCAAAAAAAAACATGGCACTGATTTTGCCCTGATAAGCTTCCAACGCATGCGTTCATTGAGTCTGGTCATTTCGTCCTCTGCCCTGGCCTTGTAGGCCTCGAGGAACATGAAAAGTGCTGAGAAGGTCGGTGACTTTTCCAGGACATAAAACATTAAAGTTGCTTCAAACACGTTACTCAAAACATCTTTAAACATTCAAGTCTTGTCCTGCGAAGAGTCCCCTTTTGATTTCATGTTGATATTGGTTAGCCCAGAAGTGGGTTTCAGCAAGAACCTGCGCGAGAACTTACGATTGCAGTACCCCAGCCTCCAGCTCTCCTCTAGTCTCTTCGCTTCCAGCAGCCTGCGACAAAGGTTCACCGTGCTTGCATCTCACCATGTTGGCACAGCCCAGCTTGAGCCACTCAAGGATATTGATCTGGGCTGCATTTGACTTTTTGCAAAATTTCTCCTGCACATTTGAATCCTATGAGTGAATAGGGCCTGAGTCGGGATTCAGCCTTTCTTTCAAGCATTGCACAGGAGCCAAGACTCTTTAGCCACATAGACGACAAGATAGTATAACCCATTGTGGCAGCACTAACAAACATCACAAAAGACATCAGCACCTGCACCTCGTGATGAATTCTCTGTCGCAAAGTGGAGATGGCAATCGACAATGCTCTCAAACCATGTAAGCAAACTGACATGACCTAAGGCAGCTCATCCAGCCTGGGCACGAAGGCGTGCCTTCATTTTGGCCAGCTCTGTATTGCTGATATTGGCTGCTTCTTTCCTTAAAACATTGCAGCCCACAGAACAAGAACAGCAGAACCTACATCTTCCGCCTTTTGGTCTGAGTTTATTTATGCACATGCCAATTTGACCATCCCGGGACATGTTTCGGGTCTGTATTCCTCACTTCCAACTCAGTCTTGCGCCAGAACCGCTGTCATATATTCGCAAAGAGAAAAGTAATGGTGGCTGACGGACGTACCAAGAAGTCCTGTTTTGCTTGTCAGTCTGATCATATGTTTCCTTCAAAATCGATCCCAGCATCCCTTCTTTCTCCAATTCGGCCGCACGGGCTTCTGCCTTGCGAATCTTCTCACGCCAAGTCTCCTCGAGAAAATGGTAAAGACGGGATCTGGGGAGTAGATGGGTGTACTCACTGTTCTCATTGTTGTGCTAAGTCTCATTCTGTTTCTTGGTGCTTAATGAGGGAGGTGATATGCTTGACTAGTTGATAGCACGTTTGCCATTTCTGGTGCGTATGGTGATGTGAACTCATGCATAAGTGAGACCAAACTGTGCGATGGCGAAAGTCAATCTGCACAGTTGCACATAAGGCATACATGCATGCCTATCCATACGATACATTTAGAGATATGGATTTACTGATTTTTTGCCGGTGCGATGTCCTGACACTTTGATGCCTGAGGCTGCTGTTAGCTGCCGGTCGCTCGGCTAAAATGGCTGTACATGCCAAGCACAATCCGTGAGAGCGAAGATCAAGGCACTTTCAGACCTCCGCGAACTACGCAAGCTGATTGTACTTGAACATGAGATTCCCAAACAGGAATTCTGTCCATCTGATTCTCTCACGTTCAAGAATCGGTGTCGTTCCATTCGCCAAGCAGAAGCCGTTGATGCCCAGCTCCTTCCTGGCCTTCATAACGGCGGCGGTTCAAGCCAAGATGTTCTGGTACTGTAGGCCTTTTTTGCTGGCAGCATTCTGATTCTTAGTCGCATCATCATCAGATACGATCGTTTGTCTGTTTGTCTTGTCATGGACATTGCGCCCAGGGGACACATCAGCTCCTGAGGTGCCCTATCTCCTCGTTGTTGCCAGTGAAGACCACGACCTTTGCCAACTTTCCCTGAGCAATCCCTGGGTAATCTTGCTCACTGCCTTCTTCATGACCCGAGTTTTCCTCCCTGTGGTCCTTTTTATTGTTGTACACTTTACGGTCCAAGGACCGAAGGATCTGCAACCCATTGGTCACCATGCAGAGAGACTCAAGTGCCACAATCAGATCACACAACCCCGAGAAAGACATCCTGATATCGTACTCCTGATATCGTACTCCACGGTTCATCTCAAAGGGACGCAAGCGATCCAGGAAGATCAGGAGTGTAGGAAACTAATCAACAACGCAACATCCAAAAGCTTCGATGCAACCTCCACTGTGGACGTGGAAAAGGAGCCAAGCGACCAAAATCGTGTGCATGCTGGCGTTGCAACTTGCTATGAAATATCTATGGGGAAAAACCTGTACCAAAATGGAACGTCAAACTGTAGAGGCTCTCACCTGTACAAAACATCTACACAAAAGCCTGAACCACGTTCAGGAAACCAAAGCTTCTTGAGCAAGAACAGGAGACTGCACATCACAGGGACAAAACTCAAACGGCCACTCAAAAGATCACCCTACTCAGAGATCCCAGCGAAAACGGTATGGCCATCCGAGGTACATAATGGTGCAAAAGGACATCACCGCTCGAACATCCGAGGTACAAAAAAGGTCTCACCAAAGTGCGACAAAAAGATGGGAGCCTTCCGGGACAGGAGACCAAGCTGGCAGAAGGCGGTGGCCCCCATCTGAAGACGATATGAACAAACTGCACAAACGTGGCAATCACCGGATCCACGTATCCGCGTCCTCTCAAACTGAAGATGCAGAAGCTGCGAATTAGCAGTAGCGACGCAGCGAAGCACATCTCCCCAGAATTCTCCAAAGGCTGTGGCACTCAGGGTAAATGCCACCCGGAGATATTTATACCAGGTCAATTCCCGCTACCCGAGGTAGCCCCTCCCTGGGAGGGCTGTGGCCTTTTTCCCGAGAGCGTCTGAGCAAAGGGTTCTTCTAAAAGTGGGGGTCTGCTATACATCTTCACATGTTCATATCTTCATCACATCTTCTCATCTTCTCATCTTCATATCTTCTCATCTTCTCATCTTCACATTTTCTCGTCTTCATATCTTCACATCTTCACATGTTCAAATCCTCACATCTGCACATCTTCATACATCTTCACACATCTTCACACATCTTCTCTCTCTTTCTCCATCTTCACATCTTCTCCTATTCAATTCTTCACATCTTCTCTCTCTCTCTCTCTCTCTTTCTTTCTTTATTTCTGTCTTTCTTTCTTTTCTTTCTTTCTTTTTGTCTTTCTTTCTTTCTTTCTTTCTTTCTTTTCTTTCTTGCAAGTGTTCTTTCTTTCTTCCTTCCTTCCTTCCTTCCTTCCTTTCTTTCTTTCTTTCTTTCTTTCTTTCTTTCTTTCCTTCTTTCCTTCTTTCCTTCTTTCCTTCTTTCCTTCTTTCCTTCTTTCCTTTTTTCTTTCTTTCTTTCTTTCTTTCCTTCTTTCCTTCTTTCTTTCTTTCTTTCTGTCTTTCTTTCTGTCTTTCTTTCTTTCTTTCTTTCTTTCTTTCTTTCTTTCTTTCTTTCGGTTTTTTATTTCTTTCTTTCTTTCTTTCTTTCTTTCTTTCTTTCTTTCGGTTTTTTCTTTCTTTCGATTTTTTCTTTCTTTCTTTCTTTCCTTCTTTCTTTCTTTCTTTCTTTCTTTCTTTCTTTCTTTCTTTCTTTCGTTTCGTTTCTTTCTTTCTTTCTTTCGTTATTTCTTTCTTTCTTTCGTTCTTTCTTTCTTTCTTTCTTTCTTTCTTTCTTTCTTTCTTTCTTTTTTTCTTTCTTTCTGTCTTTCTTGTCTTTCTTGTCTTTCTTGTCTTTCTTGTCTTACTTGTCTTTCTTCCTTTCCGTCTGTCTGTCTTTCTTTCTTTCGTTCGTTCATTCGTTCTTTCTTTCTTCCTTTCTTTATTACTTTCTTTTTCTCTCTCTCTCTCTCTCTCTCTCTCTCCCCCTCTCCCTCTCTCTCTCTCGCTCCCCCTCCCTCGTTCTCTCTCTCTCTCTCTCTTTCTCTGTGGCTCCCTCTCTCTCTCTCTCTCTTTCCCTCTTTCACGGTCTGTCTCCTTCTTTTTCTTTTCTCTCTTATTCTCTCTTAAGGCCGCAGGCAGTGCCAACGAGGCGCCATGACATGGCCACCTTTTCACACGAAATGCGGTTTGGGCGTCAAAAACTAAAGTAAGATTGCGATTCTACATCCTGGGCGGCAGCCCTTTCGCACGAAACGAGGTTCGAGCGTTAAAAACCGGGGTAAAATTGCGATTTAACAACGTCTCCCTTTCGCACGAAACGAGGTTCAAGTGTCAAAAAGTGAGTAACAATGTCCGCAACAACCCTCTTTCGCACGAAACGAGGTTCGAGTGTCAAAAACTGACGGTTTTTTGCAGTTTGGTTTGTCCGGCGGCGACCCTTTCGCGCCAAACGAGGTTCGAGTGTCAAAAACTGCGTTTTTTTTTGCGAGTTTGGATGGTCCGGTGGCAACCCTTTCGCGCGAACCTCGTGTAGAAGTCGCTGTGTGCGAAAAGGTTTGTGTGTAGAAGTGTTTGTGTGTGTGTGTAAAAGAGTCTCTGTGTAAAAGTGTTTGTGTAAAAGCGTCTGTGTGTAAACGGGATTGTGCTGACGGACTTTTTACCGTCCAGCAAAACACATAGATTTTGATGGGGTGGGGTGGGGTGGGGTGGGGGTGGGATGTTAACGTTCATTGGCACTTACACACATACGTGATGCTACGCCACTGCACGTTCTTCTGCAACTTCCACACATACGTGATGCTACGCCACTGCACGTTCTTCTGCAACTTCCACACATACGTGATGCTACGCTGGGGTGGGGTGGGGTGGGATGTTAACGTTCATTGGCACTTACACACATACGTGATGCTACGCCACCGCACGTTCATCTGCAACTTCCACACATACGTGATGCTACGGCTGGGGTGGGTGTCAGGGTGGGAGTGGGGCAATACGTTCATGCACTGACACACATACGTGATGCTACGCCACTGCACGTTCTTCTGCAACTTCCACACATACGTGATGCTACGCTGGGGTGGGGTGGGGTGGGGTGGGGCAATAACGTTCATTGGCACTTACACACATACGTGATGCTACGCCACTGCCCGTTCTTCTGCAACTTCTGCATTTTTATATATTCGACTTCGGGCCTCTTGAAGAAGAAAAAACGCTGAGAGGGTTGTCGATGGAAAAGTTAAACCCTCAAGTTCGGAGACCCCTTTTTTCAGTCAAAATTGACGTTTCGCTATGGCGAAACGATAATTTAGTAATAAATATGCGGACGGTTCCCCGCTGAAAAATCGCCGGGGTGTTGTGTGTGAACAGTTTTTGCGCGTAACGCGATGGTTGTGTAAAGTGTTGGTGCGGGGTGAAAGAATCTGTGTGTAAAATCAACATTTGTGTGTGTGTGTGAGCATGTGTATGTATGAGGCATGCTGTCTGTAAAAATGTCTGTCTCAATTCTTCTTCCTGTGTCTCCTTCGTTTTATCAAATTCATCTTTCTTTTCTTTCTCCTTCAAATTCTTCATATGTATCTACTTTTCATACCATGTCTGCACCATGTCTCCTCATTTTGCGCATCATCGTATGTTTCTATATTTACGTTTCATGCTATTAGATCTTCATACTTATACCTCTCACTATGCTCCTCTGCGCTCTCGGGCCATCCGTCCTCTAGTTCGTGGCTTTCATGCTCTTCATCACGGTCTTCTTCATTGGAAGGGCCAAACGGAAAGCGATTGCTGAGAGCTTTGGCAGGGCGCTAGTTGCAAACAAGTCGTCAAGATGTATAAAGTCAAAGATGTATAAAGTCGGGCTCGCCGTGGTGGAGAACCAGTCATCAAAGTCTTCAAGGAACGACAACCAGCGAACGCGGAGTGGTCAACTCTTGGAAAAACCACAAGCAACTACTATAGTTCTACTTTGAAGAACCCCGGTTTACCTTCTTTGCTTCCTTTTGCTTTACCATACTTGCCTGTCTACAATAAACCTGGTCCAAGCTGAACTCTGTTCACTAGCTGTTAATCCAAAATATTTTGGCGGCACATGAGGATCAAAAATCGCCAAGCAGTCACTCCTGCGCTTTGTGTAGTTCCTGCTCCATATCGCGGGCCTCAGATGCTAGTGTCGTACTAAATTGCCAGACTCCAGCAGTGCAAATTGCGCGTTTATTCTATAGTATTTCGGTAGACCGGAATGCCAAATAGAAAAAAATAGGTGAAGGATGGTGTAGGTGAGAGGCCACGCTGTCAACTCTTAACCATGCGTCAATACCGAGAGCGGGTTTTAGTAAACACGTACCAGGTTGGGGTAAAGAATGTACAAGCATTTAGAAGCCATATCCATTTAGGGGCTGTTGTGTGTCCGAGTTTCATGGTACTCACTAACTGTTCTGAAAAAAGCCTGCACAAGGAGAGGAGGATAAATCAAGAGTTGAAGTAGGGCGTCTATGTAAGATCTTGCGTTCTATCAATCTGTGGAATCGTAAGTTTGTTAGAATGAAAGTTGTGGAGGTGCGCTTGATAAAGTAGCGCTAACAATTAGCACAAAGTTGGCTGCCGGACACCAACCTTCTGTCAAGCCGCGGGGTGGGTGGTGAAATAAATCAGCAAAGCACTGCAAAGGTCTACGAATTGTATCGTGGCGCTCGTTTGAATTGAAGATGTTTCGTGCCCTTGTCAACCCATTCAGTCCACAAAGGCAGACCAACTTGATCAAGTCATGTTGGATACCGTTGGCAATACTTGACATCACTTGACCATATTGATCGGCTGAGCTTTCCGCCTCTTGCTTCAAGCGGCGAACCTCTACAGCCGCTCGCTCCTCCGGAGAAATTATTTCCAGCTGCAAATCTGAAACCATGACCCTACAATATGAAATCAAATCTTCACTTATTTCGCTTGTCTTTCTTATGGAAAAAGGCTGTTGCTCTATGACGTTCTTCACCCCACAGTCCAGAAGTTGGCCGATATCCGGCATAGCCGACCTCTCCATATCTTCAAAGACTTCTGCGCCAAATCTACGCATGTGTCATCTTCTTATGTCTCCTTGATTTCTTCTTTTGTCGTCTCAGCCTGTTCTGCCCGCTTCTGCCACTGTGAGGCCAAGCGTTCTGCCTGACGTACTGCATCCACTGCCTGACACAGCAACTGTCCAGTGCAGATACTACGTTTAGAGCTGTTTTTGAAGGCCAAAACCACAAGGACGTACTTGATTTGCCCCACAAGCAGCTGACATCTCAAAGGGTTCTTGACCCTATACAAAGTACAGCGCAGCTCTTTCCAGCTCTTCCCCATGTCGAGCCTTGCTCTTGGTAGCCTGGCTTTGCTCACGACGCTGGGCATCGCGGGCTTCCATCTCCGCCAGCACATTGGAAAGATCTGAGAGTTGCTTCCTGAAGACGCGGG